ACAAGCCTTCTCGCTCAGGCATTCATCCATCAGCCCCCTAACCTCCTAACATATAAGATCCTAATAAGAATGGAAGAAGATCCCTTGGAACCTATCAGGCTTTAATGATTTGGATCCTTTCATTAGAAAAAACGGCCTCCTTGATCTCGAGCTCCTCTATAGGTTTGGGCAAAGCCTCATTCATTTCAGGCGTGATGATCAATTCCACGTAATTCAGCAAATCTCCCCAATCACATTTGCCCACAGAAGTGCATAGATTTTGAAAATGTTTCTTCATCGTGCGCCGAACCCTAGCAGGGCTTTCCACTCAATTGTCCTCTTGGTCTCGAACATTCGTCACACAGTTTTGCCTTCTGTGTTGGATGGTAAACTGGTGGAGGAAAGCTATGTCGGCATTACTAGCTTGAAGCCACCAAATAGGGACCTTTGATGCCAAAATTGCTCTTCTTGTTTCTCGAGCCGGTTCAGACAGCATGTGGTATCTTTGATTGCTTCCAAATTCGCCTCCCAATCCATTTGAATAGCACCAGGTGTTCCGATAAGTTGGCAATGGTTAATTTTCGTTCCTACAGGGTTTTCCGAGTCTATTTTTTCAAGTTCATCTTAGTCACACTAATTTTCCTACGTCATTTGTGAAGCCACGTGCCCTTAAAGTGTTGGCCCTAACTCACTTTCACAACTTCTTTGCATCCCTCATCCGAGGTCCAGAAGGCCTCGAATATGAAAGTCTGCGTTTGATGATATTCGGGTTCAAGTTGATGATGAAAGGGATATGATCAGAGGCATTCACAATAGCGTGGCAAACACTCATGCCAAATCCTATTCACCAGCACATGGTCCAATTGCTCTTGCACAAGTCTGTTATTCTGAGTCACTTTCCAAGTAAATTTGGGGCCATAAAAGGCCAAATCAATTAGTTCCATTTTCACCATAAAGTCATGTAAGTACCTGGGCCGAAGATGCGACACCTGGCTTCCTCCTTCCTTTTCGCGATCCCAAAGGAACTCATTTAGGTCGCCCTCACAGAACCAGAGACGATTAGAAGGCTGGAGCACCTCCAGTGCCCATTTCGAAAACTCTTCCTTTTCATATTTGTATGGGTTACCATACATTTAAGCATCCAAATTTGGGCTATATGATTTGCTGCATTGAGATTTGTCACATCGCCCCACTTGAAGAGAATTCTGGGGGCCAAGATAAGTTGGCCATATTTTCTGTTATAGAAATGTTTGGGGCAAATTGGCACCCTAAGTTTTGGAGCTTCCACACACCAAGGGAAAAAAAAATAAGAAGCTTGGTATATGGTTCGGCCTAAAACAAATAAATTGTTGCCTCCTCTAACTTATTAAGTGGCTTAATTAACTCTAGATAAAATCAAATTTGTTTTCTCCAGAGTTGTCTTCACTTTTGAAATAACCGATATTAGAGGAACCAAGCTTAAGACGACATGATTTATGACCCCTTGTAATTTTTTTCTTTATAGGTAAAACTTAAAACATTGTTTCCTTCATTGCTGAAAGGCCAAATTGCAAAATCATTCATGTAATCATAAGATTTTGATATAGAATCCATTTACACTAAAAGGGGGAGGATAAACTAGTATCGTATTTAGCATTCACGAGATTTGAACCTAAAACTTTACTTATAAATAAAGAAAAAAACCACTAGACTATCATACTTAAAGGCTCTTGTAATCATAAAATTAATTTGGGACTTTGATAATATATGGATGGTGCTATGGAGAAGGGGAGAATATTTTTTTTCCACATCTTGGTATTTTCATGAGGTTTAGACCCATTAACTTGGGAGTGCCATCCATGTCGAAAATTCACCAAGAAAGTCCAATTTTTTTAAGCAGCAAATCAATTCAATAAGATGTGAGCTCCAATGTAATGGTGACGAAATCTACCTTAGTAAATCGAATTTCCGTTGACTACGTTGTGCTGAATGGCCAATTCAAGGCAGCCTGCTTTCTATCATCCCCACTTCCTTCGTAAAAGCATCTCTAAATGAGATGTGTGAGTTACTCGCTTCAAATTGTAGAAGCATCTAAGAATTCTTCCATAGAATTTTTCGAGGTTAGGCAAATCGTGGAGGACATCAAGGTGATACTTTCAACAATCACTGAGGTTATTATAACCCATACCTGCTGCCATGCAAACAGCATCGCCCATAGGCTTGCACATTACGGCATCTCATTGAGTCATGCGTGTGATTGGTATAATCACCCTCCAAGTTTAACCTTGGATTTACTTGTTGAAGAAAGTATGGAGCCTTGAATCACCTTTGTAACAAAGCATTGTAATGGCTCTATCAATGAATTTACTATAGTTTCTTTGAAGAAAATAAAGGAGATGTCAAAATTGTCACATAGACATATAACAATAAAAAAAAATAGCATAAAATTTCTCCCACTGAGCCTTCAGTTTCTTACATGGCGTTGAGTTAATTGAAGGCTAGGTCTTCTGCTGTCAAATTCATTTAATAATTTTTTAATAGATGTGAAGCAATATATAATAAATATTGTTGTATTCCAAGTATTTGATTGGTTGTCTTAATAGTTGGACCCCACAAAGAGATTAAAAAAATTATAAAAGGACATTATTATTTAACATATTAGGTGGAGCATAAAAATGTACAAAATGTCAAATTGCTGCATAAGACATCAAACATCATTTTGATGTTTTAAATTTAACATCTTTTTTTGGAGATGCTCTAACATTTCAGTGGAGATAAGAAATAGCGAAGACCAATTAGGGTAGAGTTATCTGTTTTTTTTCTTTTTCTGTGCCATGTAGTACAATTAATTCAAACGCAACCAATTAGATCATTACACATAAATATATTGAGATGAGTCAAGTGAATGAATGATTCATTGTCACCTTATATTGAGGTCAAATTAAGTATGCCATACATCCTTAGATTAGTAAGGTATATGCCCCATCCCTACGGGTGGGTAACAAATCACCTTGGATGACATGAAAATCTTAAGCCCTAAGGCCTCCAACCCAATATGGGAATCCCATAAATTAGCCCCGTATTTTCAACTCTTCCTCTTTACGTATGAGGTTAGTCAGTTTTTTTCTCCATTGTAATGGACTTATAATTCCCACCCCCAACTTTATAACTTGTTAAACTTTTGTAGTTCTTTGATTTTTTTTTTGCTAACAATTTTGGAATTAGTTTTTGCATAATCTATCTTGTTTTATTTTACTAATATTTTGCATGTTTAAAATGGCTTGGTCACCCTTGGGTATCGACCAACACGTGCTCATCCTGATATTTGGAGGATACCAAGATCGGAGTGTGTCATATAGAGTTTTGGTGTTGGATTTAATTTGGATTAATTAATAATAATATTTTAACTGTTGAATTTAAATTTGAGCTGTTAGATTTTTTTTTATTACCATTAAATTAATTAAATTGGATTTGAGTCATTGGAGTTAAGAAGGGATGTAGTTGGGTGAGCCAGGCCCGCTTGTTTCCTTGTCCATCCCCTGGGAGAGCAAACCTAACTTCCCCTACCTCCAGACCCAAAATCCTAAAACTCCCACCCCCAAAATACTTCCTTGATGAGGTATGTGCCACAAATTTTGGGCTTTTTGGTTTGCCCCTTGGAGCTAGCCTAAGGGTAATAGAGCATGTCCTATCTCTAAAGGGTCGATAGCAAATCACCTCGTGAAATCACAAAATAACATTGCACATAAATATATGAACATAAGCAAATTTAATGTATTGTGTGTTATATTCACTTATCTATTTTGCAGATTTTGTGTGTGTGTGTGTGTGTGTGTGTGCGTGAATGGAACTCCAAAATAACAATTTTAAAAACTGTGTGACCAAATAGTATAAGTACAACATAAATAAAATATTTTAAATCAATAAAATTTATAATATTGATAATATGTTAGTAATATTTATATTAATTATAAATAGGTCAATGAGACATTTTTTAAATACATCTATATTTTTACACTAAGAGACTTTAGTGTACACTATTGCTCCTAAATCAAACAAAAATTACCAATTATACCATTACATAATAGCTAGAAGCCCTTTTTGTATATTTTTTGTATTTAGGAATAAGTCAACCAACATGGAACATTGCGTTGCAGTTTTGTGGATTTAGACCCTGCATTGCAGTTTCTATTTTATTGTAGGTGAATTAGTCATTTCAAGTATTGAACTTTAGTATGAGTGGTTTTGGTTCATGGAATTGGGTCATCTCTGAGGCAAACCCTTAGGATCCTCCTAACCCACTAACACGGGCTGTTAGATTTTGATCCAACGGCTACAAACATGGGGGTCTATCTAAAAGTTATAATAATTGTGGCTGTTGGATTTTGATCCAACAACTCGTGTTAGTGGGTCAGGAGGATCCCGAGAGTTTGCCTCGGAGAGGATCCAATTCCTTGGTTCATTAGTTGTTGGTGGGTCGGATCCTTCATTTATGGCTTGTTTTATAAGGGTTTTGTGGCTCCTCTTGACCGATCCATGGCGGCACCACCTTCCCTGACCATAACTATGGCGGCCTTGCCTTGCTTGGCGCACGGTTATGGCAGATCTCTCTTGAAGTGGTAATGTTGTAGCTGGTTATATGAGCTAATCGTTGGTGACAAGCCAACCAGAGGATTACGTTCTCGAATTAGTGTAAATCAGTGTAGGTTTGTTTGTACCGCATTTAGCGGTTAATGTCTTACCCTAGCACGTGCCCCACTGTGTGCGGTGGTTTTGATGTGACCTCACTTGTTAGCTATAGTTTAATGTGGTCTTGCTTGTGTGGGGGTGACCTTATGTGTGCTCCGGTATAAGTCTCCTCCTTTTGCTGTCTTTGTGGTCGATTTTGTATTGGGGTGTTTGTGCTAGTGCGCATGTTTTTGGTAGTTAATTAGGGAATTATCATCATAGCTTGTTTGTGCGAATTAACTCCAAACCAAATATTTGATCATTGGAGATTGTACCCATGCGGCAACCCTTGTAATTATTACTATTATCATTATTAATGGAAAATCACAATCGTTTCTTTGTAAAAAAAAAAAATGACTAAAATCTAATATCAAATGTGACTAATTTAACTATAATAAATATCTGATCTGGACCATAATTACAGCGTCCTCCACCAATGCCGGGCTTCGCTCAAATCTGAATACGTACGACTGCTTCATGAAGAAATCTTCGTCGTTAATTCAATAATCCTCCCAATAATTGGAGCTCCTCCTCTGCGGACTGCTCGAATCGGAATCCCCAGGCGATAATCTTCCCAGGTTTAAGTATCTGTAAAACCTGGAGAATAATATAATATGATAATTAACTGACCATCGTACAATCCAAGAACCCAAACAGGTCCTATCCACAAGCCTGTTTCTCCTTCCCTTGTTCTACTTCCCCATTTATAATCTGTGCTGTTTTATTGCTGCCTTGCCAAAGTTAAATTATATCATCAGTCCAAAAAATTGATCACTGACATATGGATAATTAGTAAAGTTTTCATTGATTTATGGCTGAAAAAAAACCTTATTTAAGGCACCATAAAAATTTATGCCGAACACATTACAAAAGCAATGTTTTAAAATATTTATCGAAAATCGTACATAGCAAAGAAATAACTAAGTTATGAGTCTAGATCCTCGTTGGACCCTCTTTGTGAAGATTTCGAGAATTCATGAATCGTGTCCGTTCATCGTACATTGTGCGGTCAGAAATCATTTTAAATTTTTTTATTTAAAAATAAACATAAACAGTACTTGACAAAAACTAACTATACGATATACGATGAACAAATAAGATTCATGGATCCCCAAAATTCTCATCAAAAGAATCGGAGAGGATCATGTTGGCTAAGTTATAAGTGAATGTTCCTCAAGCGTGCAGGACCTTTCTCTTTCGGTAAGGGTGGACGTTTTCTGTTCTACCTCGTCCTCCTCCAAAGAACTAATAGCTTATTCATCCACGTCGTAGAAAAAAAAAAAAAAAAACAGATGAAGAGAATTTCAAAAGAGAAAAGAACTACAAGCATATTTACAAAGACTTATGGATTAGGAAAGTCGATTCAAACAATGATTTTGGCAGATCTAACTGTTTATAAAAGTGATTTCAACCTAAAATTTATCACCCGTGCTTCATGCCACTTCACCTATTCATATACTAATTTAAAATTCTACTGTGACGGTGGCACTTATAAAAACTGTTATCCCAAAACAAATGTTCATATGTACAGAATATAGTTTTCTGCAGAAAAAAAATAAACAACACAGAATATAGTCACGGTGGCATTTACAGCTATATATTAGCAAAGTCCAAATTTGAAAAAATAAAATTTAGAGTAAAATATTATATATGAAGATAGTGTTTCAAAAAAAAAAAGATCACAAACAGATTGCAATTTGCTTTGGCAATTGCATGTTCCAGAATGCCATTATGGATTTAAATTGAAGTAAAAGATTATCAGTTTTTAGATCGTTCTTTAATTTGGACATGAAGGTTTTTTTCGTTTTATTTCCTGTTGAGAGTGAACCTTAATCTGTGCTCGAGCGATAGCCTCACCGGATAATGAAATTAGTCGTGAGACTAGCAAGTGTAGTCATGAACTAGCTGTGGTGATGAAATGTGGAGATAAGGGGTTAAAATTACGATAGATCATGGGTTAGATCTCATCCCAAATGTACCAAGCTAAAATTAAAAAGTAAAAACCAAACGATTACCATTTAAAAGTCTACAACAACAACAACAACAACAAAGTCTTTTCCCACTAAGTGGGGTCGGCTATACCATTTAAAAGTCTATTACAACAAAATAATAACTGATCATTGATCATACATATAGAATCTTGTCACGCTGGCATTTATATATCCAAATTTTGAAAGAAAATTAAGAGAACATTGTTATGCAGATATTAGTACTATTCACAACAAGATTACACCGATTTCCTTGCTTTAACAATTTGTGCGTCCAGTATTAGACATTTTAGATTTAAAGCAAATTACCATAGTGAAAACATCAAAATAATAATCCTCAAAATTGTTCTGCACATGAACGTTATATGAAACTGTGATCAAACTAAAAAAAAATGTACTCATATAAAGTTCATGAATTTATATATAAACTTTGGAAAAGGGGAGCCATTTCATATATGACCATTGGCTCAGAAATAAGACTGAACAAGGGAAAACAAAATCAAAATTGTATTTCTTTTTTATCTTCATAAATATTGCAAATGAGAAAAATGTATAAGAAGAGGAAAATAAATAAATATTTATAGACTTGTGTTTTCTGTCACCTGCATTGATCCTTTTGCCTCCACAGACCAATCATATTGCAAAACACAGAAAACCGTAGTTTCCTTTTCTTGGCCTTGTCCTTTCCTTCTCCAAAGAAAACCTTCCTCTTCCAAATCTTCCTAATCCCCACATTGGATGAAGATGACCCTTTGGCCTCCCTTGTAGTACTGCTTCTCATATCTGATGATACAGTGGAAGCCATGCCTGATGAAGGATGAGTACAGAAATTGGCAATGAACCGCCTGGATCCTCCAAGAGAATATGGCAATGCCATTAGATGCCGTTCGATCAGATGACTAACTGAGACCAATTCATAGGAGTCGTATAAAGGGCTCCCACAATCCCATACGCCCAGTTCTTCATTGACTCTCAATCTTTGTTGCATATTCTCTTGGTCTCAAATTTTTCTTGGCACCAAGACTAATGTTTTTAGAGACTAATAAATATAAGAGAGTGTATGATTTAGGCTGACAAGTGCCAGTCATGCATATTCTTTGTGTCCAACTAAACAGATTCTCTTATCTTTTCAAGTAAAATAGTTTTAAATTTTAGGTTGGTATTTTAATGGGCACGCCATGTTTTGGTGGATGCACCCGTTATATACCTTTAGAATTACTACCTTGCCCTTTTGATGGAGAATTTTTTCTTGTTTTGATTGGATATTTGATAAGAATATCATCGTCTTTTACAAGAAGCATGACAGAGGGGACTGATTATTCATATGGGGATAAGACAATAAGCAAATCTCATTTGATCCTCCAACTTTCACACACAGGTGCTCTTCACCAATCTACATTTAGAAATGTGTATAGTTTAAAACACTACAGAAAGAGAAGAAATTAATTAGGGTATCAATAATGTATCTTGTTTTTCTTCTTAGGTTAGGATACTGATGACAATTTTTTCATATGTTGTACTTATACAAGGTAGCGAACTCTATATTAATGTTGTACTTCAGAAGATAAATGTTATGTGTCAAGTTCTTATAGCTTTGAAAGCTTACGAAATCATAAAGGATCATTTCTATGGAGTCATTCTAAATTCACAGATTCAAATGACTTTTAAAGTTAAATATCTTTCTTTAAACTATGGATCCTTGTAAATCGTTGTTTCAAATCCATTCAAAATGCACTGGCACTTTCAAATACATTCAATCCAATATTTTCTTTTACTTTTTGGAGATCCTAATGTATTACCATCACGCCACAAGAGAAATTGAAGGAAACACATCTTCAAATCACGGATGTCCTCAATTAGACGTCCAGTACCACCTAAGCAAGCCTTTGTCGAGTTGATGGCCTCCACTCCACAGACCCTTTTGCACAAGTTCAAGCACAACAGACCCTTTGGAAATATTTTCTGTAGCACATAACTTCTGTTAACTTGTAAACATTAGACTGTTTTCGGGCGTTTTCAACGAAAGAAAACAATTTCTCCTTGTTTTTGTTCATTTGAAACTAGATATACAAGGATCCTATTAGCTTTACTCTCCTGTATATATCAAAGGAAAAAATATATATGCTGGGAATAATTTCCGAAGATTCTATTGTATTATAAAGGTTTGCATTGTCATACGCTAATTTAAATTGGGTTAGAGTTTTGTCTATTGTGAAGAGAGTGATCCACAGTCATGTGGCTCCGGTTCCATTATTAAACAAAATGGGGGTGGAACTTGGCTCAAAGTTACCTAACACCACGACATTACATGTAATGTGGTTTTGATTGTCAACATCCGCGTTCATGACAGAGACCCATACTTCCATGAAAACAACACTTCGATCGACCTGTAAAGTTTTTTTTTCTTTAGTTGAAATCCTTTATGGATCTCACTCTCCGAAGTCCAAGGACCAAGGAATCCGGACCAATCAAATTGAATCTGACGATTCCATTAACTCATTCTGCTGACCCATCTCACATAAACCAAAGTCTAAATCTCTCTCTCTTGAACGGTCCAGATTTCTTGGTCCTTAGGCTCCTGAAAGTGAGATCCGAAGAAGATCTCAACTCATTTTTCTTGATCGTTCACATGTCACATAATCCAAATGAATACATTGAAAGTTGAAATTCAAATGAATACATGAAATTATGCAAGTTCATAGCAATAAGTAGTTATTACTTTAAGGATTTAGGGTTAACATACTAATTTCTTGTTATTTATTTTGAGCTTATAGTTATGATTTAAGGATTTAAGTTCATAGTTCAATCATTGTCACTGTAATCAAAATACTATTTTCTTGTCAATAATTTTGAGTTGAAGATTGACACAGAGTACTAGACACTTGAAAAGGCTTATAAAACCAACACAATACAAATTCAACTAACTTCATATGAGACATATCTATATTTAGAAAGAGATTTAAACTTGAAATCTATCATCATCCCACACCACTTGAGCTAACTAGGGCGGCATGAGACATATTTACCGTGTGATAGATAGAAAACTAATGCCTTAAAAAAGCTAAAACAACTGTGGACTGATTTTGGAAACGGCAAATGTGTTCGGTTTTGAGCTTGTACTATTCACTTAATCATAGGCAGTGCTAAAGAAGCTCCTAACCACATTGCCACACAAAATCTGCAAAACCTTCTTGTTGTTAAGCCCTACACATCTTGGTGTTTTGAACTGGCTAGCAGCAGCTCCTTGAGCTAGGTAATGGATTAGAATCTTCTGGAAGGTTCCCTTCCGAAGAATTCGAAGCTCGAGCGGGCCTATGGTGTTGACCTTGCGCGAACTCATGTATCCCGCATCAACAAAAGCTTTGTCCAAACAGTTGCAGCACTCGCTAAGAACCTCATGGGTTGGTTCACCATTGAGTTCCCAAAATATGACATAGTGACCAGGATCTGTGGACAAGTCCACATGGCTTGAGAAATCAACAACTTCCAACTTTTCTGCAGCTAAAAGCTTTGCAGCTTCTTCGACGGATAGCTGCAAATCTTTTTCAGTGTTCTTGTCAATGTTGATTGAAGGCAGAAGATTGCTCCGGCACACGAATTTGAGCTCTGGGGTTGAGTTGTAGAACCCCACAACTTTCACAATATCCCCTAGTCTGTAACGGTACAAACCTGCATATAAATTTGATTAGATTTTTAAACACAACTACGGATCTTTTGGCTGAATTCATGCATAAATAACAAGATTTCTGTGATGGAAAAAGAAGGCATGGTGTATAAAAGTTGGATTATCTATCAGTCTACGTTGACGAAAAAAAATTCAGTGGGGTTACAGAATCACCTGCAACACTAGTGAGGACCACCTCATACTCTTCACCAACTGTGACTTCAGTGAGTCCCACTGGCTGCTCACCGCTGCTGTTCCTCAGAGGGATGAACTCATAGTACCCAACATTTGGGATCACAGCAAAAGTGGCCAACTCAGGGGGCAATTTTGGGTTGACATTTGCCCCAACCCATCCTTCAGAAGAACCATAGTCTGCACTCAACAATGGCAACTCCCCTGCATAGTGCCTCAATTTCTTCAAATAAGGCTCCATGGACCCTGTCATGATCCCATAGATGTACTTGACATTGGGAAAAAGTGCTGGTATTAATCCATACCAATTACTCAATCCGGAACATTTCCCATGAATCAAATCAGCCAATTTAGGGTTCGGGCTGAGCAGTTTTGAAACAGCTGATCGGATTGATGGCTCTGTGATTCGGTCACTGAGGACCCCGTCTCGAATGTCAGCACATAGTTCTTCCCACACCAGCTCAAAGGTTCTGAATGCAAGGACAATGCTGTGAGCAAATGCTGAAGATATCATCTGAACTTCGTCCCTGAATATTATGCCACACAAGAGATGGCAATACAAAGATTGTTGGAAATCAGGGCCGAATATTACTTCGTCAGGGCTGCAGCATTGAGATTGCATTGTTTTCATCGTGGTTTTGAACTTATGATTGAGGTAAACGTTGGTGGTGGCAGTTCCGACTGGCAAACCACCTTGCGTCTTGAACTGCTTGCTGCTATAGATGATCTGCAGGGCCCTTCCATTCGCAATGGGGTACTCCCTGAACAATAGGCATAGTTTTCGATCATCAGAAGAATTGAAGGAATAAAATTGAAAGATGAGAAAGTACTAACCTGTTTTTCCTAACAACAGTATCGAGGATAATATAGGATTAGGCGAGAAGAACTACACAAATCATCGGACTAAACCTAGTCCCAAATCCTCTGGACACCCACAACAAGCCAAAAAAAGGAGCATCGATACCTGTTTCTAAACGCGAAAGAAGTTTGAAATATTTGCATGGTAGTTTCCATCAATTCGTCGGTGAAAGGCAGGAACTTTGGCCTTCCCTGAGTAGTACCAGAGCTGCATATGTTGTACAACATCTCAGAAACAGAAAACTTCTCCAACACAAACAAAAAAAAAAAAAAAAAAAAAAAAAACGTCCAGTCCAACGGATGAAGCAACAAAAAAAGAAAACTGATGGATTTCGGAACTCGAAAGTACCTCACTGAGAAGGATGGGACTGGTTTCCCAGTGAGGATGGGAGATGAATCACCCTCTGCAATTCTCTGAATATAGGGGTCCAAATCCTTGTGAGTAACAAGCGGCACACAAGCCTTGAAACTCTCTGGATCAGTTCTTCCATTCAGTCCTAAACCCTGCAAGTACTCCGCGGATCCGTTTTCTTCCAAAATCTTCTTCAGGGTTTTTCTCTGAACCCTCTCAGCATCCTTCGTCATTGCTTCAAAGTCCTCTATGCTTTTCTCCATATCGAACTCGTCCAACTTCTCCAACATCTGCACAGATTCTGACTTCTACAGAACAAAAATTTGTTCAACACCAAAATACAGCTACATTTGAAATAATCAATATTTAGGGTGGCAGACAGATATAAAATGCTATGATAAGGTAAAAAAATAATGATAATTCAGATGCTCAGACACCTGTGAAGAAACAGTTGGGGGAATTCAAGCAACTTAGTGAGTGAAAGTAGGAAGAAAAGTACCTGTGAATCGAAGTCTGAGGGAGAGACAGAGAAAGAAGAAGAGAGTGCTCTGTTCTTTGGGTTTATAAGGGATGATAACAGTCATAGAACTTGATGTTGTTTTTTCTTGAGTGAAAGTAGAGAGAACATGGTTGCTGTTTTCTTTTTGTAGAGAGAGAAAGCAGCAAGTGAAATTTTAATTTTTGAGAGGCTTTGGGGGGTTGGGGGGTCCAAAGGCTGTGGCCGAGTGAGGACTCTTGTGTGGGTGGAATAATATATAGAGCCAAATTACCCAGTAGCTATTTTATTTTGGAATTTTCATATGATAATTTTTAATATTTTGGGTGACGAGTGTACGCGACCTAATTTTTGTGTGAATATACATAGGAATAAGGGGTACATGCACCTCACACATGCAAGTTTTTCTTGTAGGGAGATATTAAAATCATTTTGCACCTCATACACACTGTACACACTCATGTTTAATCATGCTTGTTGGGAGATAAATGTGACAATTATCTCCTTTTCTTGTATGGTAAAAAAATTAAAGTCCAACGAGTGCACGCACATTTTATTTACACATGTAGTTAGATAAGAACCCTAAACCGTTTTCAGATTAATGTACCCTAGTTTTTTTTTTTATCAGAGATTAATGTACCCCATGGTTAACGAAAATCATGTTTTTGTTTTCTTTTAAACAAAAAGCGAAAAATGATGTGTCTAGTATTTTTTTTGTTTTATTTTTCGACTATCAAAGTACCTACCTATTTTTTTTTCTTGTTTTGAAAAGATTAGTGTATCTACTTAGTACTAATAATTTTGGTCATTTTGCAAAATAATGTACTGATTATTGAATTCTTTGTTCCGCAATATAGGTAAATTAGTATAACATTCTGTACGTGTTTATCATGGATCCCGAGCCTCTATTAGGAGGCATATTATTAATATTTGGGAACTTTAACGAAAAGCTTATGGTATTGTTCACTTTAACGAAAAACCACATTTTTACACTAAAAAGTCAATCCTGATACTATTCACTTTACCCTTTATTTTGTCTTTATCGTTAAATTTCAAAGTTTTCAAGCCATTTTCATTAGTTTTCCTTTAATATTTCTCATGTAAAATATATTTCTTATTTAAACTAGTGAATCTACAGAATATAGGTATATTTGTCTAATATGTCGTACATGTTTATCAATTATCATGGAACTTCTATTAGTAGGCATATTGATAGGCACCCAATAAGTAGTACATCGGACTTTTGGGATGCGTAGGTATAGAACATAACCAGATCCGTAGTACCATTAAGGTATTGAAATATGTCCTTGATGCCATTCTAGTAAAGATGTGTTAGTGAGGAATTGTATCTTGTTAGGAGATTACAGCAAATGAAATTTTAGGTCCTGTACAATAGGCTAAATATAACCAAGCTCTAATCGCACTAAGATAGGGGAATTCTGATCCCAATATCTCTTCGTCAGCTTCCTTAGGATAAAAAAGGGTCTTTCTTAGGAACCAAAAATCGAACGTCCATCGGAGTACTAAATGACTTTGCTTCTTCTAGGAAGTTAAATCGACGCAACACTTTCTAAGTGTAGTTCAATTAGTGTACTAAGATCTCGTTTTCATGGTGCTCGATCTATAACCGATACAATACTTAGTCTTACCTAGATCCTTCATCTCAAATTCCTTCTCCAAGTGCATTGTAGTCATTTGGATCTCTTCAGAAGTTCCAATGAGGTTTATGTCATTGACATATACTGCAATTATTGAAAAAAAAATGTAGACATTCAAATTTCGGTGAAATAAATGTTGGCCATTGCATTAAAATTACATTTGTAGACATTGAAATTTCGGTAAAATAAATGTTGACCATTGCATTAAAATTACAACATCCGCTCATTTCACCTACATCATACACTTAATTCACCTACAACCTCCACCCAATCCACCTACAACAATCCACCCAATCCACCTACAACATCCACCCAAACAAAAGGATGGTGGTAATTCATTGTCAAAGCCTATAAATAGGCCTCTCCATCAAAGGATCAAGAGAGGAAATTGACATACATTTTCTCTACTCTCAAGAAAATCCCGAAGGATCAAGAAAACCCTCTTCATTCTTCGTGAAATCCTTCTTCAAGATCAAGCCCCAACGGCCCTTGAAGAAAGTGTTCATCATTCATCAATCGTTCATCTAGGATCAAGCCCCAACGGCCCTTGGATGAATAACACAATCTGCAAATCTACATCTTACGAAGATAGAATCAGAGGACTAAATTGTAAAAGAGATTGTAACCCCGAAATCAATACAAAAAATATTATTTTGTACACGTGTTCTTGTCTCATTCATCGCAGGAATTCTCGTGTTCACAAATTTGGCACGCCCGGTGGGATTATCTTTACCTCTCATCTCTATCTTCGAATCCGCAAAAGCATAAATGGCATCAAAGAAGGTTCAAGATGTTCTCGCAACCAATGCAAAGAACAAGAACGTCATCATCGTAGGTGGTGTCACTTCGGGCGTCACTACTCAAAGCAAGGCAAGAGCTCTTTTTGCCGCCTTTTCCACTTCTGCATCAACTCCGCTGAAGGAACAAGAGCACCAGAGGCACGAGCCCGTGATCACCCTAGCCTCGCTAAGGGCACAAAGAGAGGAAAGCCCGAGGAAGTACTCAGAGCCCTTACTTTCCGATGCTGACTCAAGCAGCAACATAGCCATGCAAGTCATGACTATCGGAGCAACTTCAATCAAGGAGCAGCTGGCTCAAATGAATGAAGCGATCGCAAAACTCACATGGACTGTGGATGAGAAAGACTTGTAAATCGCTGCACTCGTCAACCAACTATATGCGAAGCCCGACGTGAAAGTCGAGCCAGGGGATACTTTAGTAAAGAAGGAAAACGGCGAAGAAGATGAGCCTCCGATGGAGAAAGTCGATGTGAAGCCGGAGCGAGACCAAGCAGCGGCACTCATAGGATCTTTTTCTATCCAGCAGTTGCAGGAGATGATCGCCAGCACCATTAAGGCGCAGTACGAAGGAAGCTCACATGACTCCATACTATACTCAAAGCCTTACTCTAAGAAGATTGACGCTTTGAAGATGCCAAGGGGTTATCAGCCACCAAAATTCATGTAGTTCGATGGAAAGGGAAACCTAAAATAACATGTCGCCCATTTCATTAAAACCTGCAACAATGCCAGGACAGAGGGAGACTACATTGTCAAGCAATTCGTGCACTCGCTGAAAGGTAACACATTTGACTGGTACACTGACCTCGAGCCCGAGTCTATCAACAGTTGGGATCAGTTAGAAAGGGAATTCCTCAACCGCTTTTACAGCACGCGTCGCACCGTAAGCATGCTGGAGCTGACCAGTATGAAACAGTGGAAGGATGAACCTGTCGTCGACTACATCAATAAATGGCGTTCATGAAGTTTGGATTGCAAAGATCGGCTTTTCGAAACTTCCGCCATTGAGATGTGCGTTCAAGGCATGCACTGGGGGTTATATTACATCTTTCAGGGCATAAAACCAAGAATGTTTGAGGAGCTGGCAACTTATTCCCACAACATGGAGTTGAGTATCGCCAACCGCGGGAAGAAGGAGTCGATCATCGACTTCAAGAAGGATAAGGTGTTTGCCCCAAATGTAGACAAGACCGGGAAGAAGCCCACCAAGGAAGCTTTCACCGTCAACACTATCCCCATCAAGACTTCATCTGCGCCTATCAAGATCTCCTCTAAGACCAAAACAAAGGAGAAAAAGAGAAATGAGCCTCCTCACACCCAAGACAGGTACAAAAACACCTTAAGGGAGCTGGAGCAAAAGACGTACCTTTTTCCTGACTCAGACATGGATGCAATGTTAGACGACTTGCTGAAAAAGAAAGTGATCGAGTTATCGGAATGCAAGCGCCCTGAAGAGATGAATCGCGTAAACGATCCTAGGTACTGCAAGTACCATCGTATCGTGAGCCATCCTATTGGCAAGTGCTTCGTCCTCAAAGAACTCATCATGAAGCTAGCGCAACAAGGGCAAATCGAGCTCAACCTTGAAGACACAGCAGCAACACATACTACTACAATTGCATTTGGATATTTCGATCCTGTGCCTCTCCAAGTGACACCTGACCATTTTCGTCAATGCTCAAGCTGGATGGTACCTTCTGCACAACCATCACCGGGGGCAAGCGACCAAGATGCACATACTAATGATGAAGAAGGATGGACATTGGTGACCTACAAAAAAACAAGGAAACCAAAACCACAAGCCACAAGGCCAAAGGTGGAACAAGGGAGAAAGCACCATCGCCGCAATAGTAGGAAGCCTAAAAGAAACAAAAAAGCTGCTAAGCCAACGCATGTTAGGGAACCTATGAAGCAAAAGCCACGCATTCCTGTCTCCTTGCACAAGTACTTCCCGAAGGACTTTTTCCAATAGTGCACTACCGTCGCCTGTCACATGGTTGAAGTAGAGATGGAAGAGCCCTTAAAAGGCAAAACTATCACCACTGAGTGAGAAAAAAACTCTCACGCTCGAAGAAGGTCTGCCAACACACTTTAGCATCGAGGAAGCACTACAATTGCTAAAGAAGATGCGAAGAGCACTGGTAGCAGTCTTGGCAAGTCCCGATGATCACGAAGTGCAAAAAAGCAAGAACGAAGACTTGAAGCTTTGGCCACATGAATGTGCCGCATGCTGTGCCACCGAGGACGCAATCCACTTCATCGACGAAGACTTGCTGCTAGGATCTAAGCCTCACAACCGTCATCTCTTCGTCTCTGGGTATGTAAGGGAGCACAAAGTCAACCACATGTTTGTGGATGGTGGATCAGCCATAAACATCATGCTAAAGTCAACAATGACAACAATCGACATCAAGGCGGATGAACTGTCCCTAAGTCGTCTACTAATCCAAGGTTTTAATCAAGGAGGACAAAGAGCGAAAAGCATGATCCGAGTGGAGATGACTATTGGTGAACTTAAGTCAAGCATGATATTTCATGTGATTGATGCAAGAACTTCCTACGGTTTGTTCTTAGGAAGGCCTTGGATCCATACGAATGGATTAGTACCGTCCATCCTTCACCAATGCTTAAAATTCTACTGAGAATGAGTAAAGATGATCTATGGTGACACCAAACCATTCACCGAAGCCGAGTCACATTTCGCAGACGCCAAGTTCTACATGGATGAAGACATGGTGCCCGAAGCTCTTCTAAAAGAGATCAAATCCACGTGCAAAG